GGTGGGCTCAGGGAGCTGCCTCCCTCCCGCGGGGCCCCAGGGTGCAGCCACTGGCTTTGGCAGCGCTCCCAAGCTGCAGCATGGAGCTTGGTCCTCCGTGGAGACACTCCTTGCCCATGTCTGATCACACCTTCTTGGTGGCTTTTCTGCTAGAGAAGGGGAAGTCTGAGCATCCTGATGGAGAGTAGGAGAACGGAGAAGAGGATAAATGGCAGCAAGGTGAACGCACAGCTAGAAGGAGGCTGATCAAACAAAGGAGGAGAGATTTGTTAAGGCCATAAAATTTACAAGGAGGAGCAGGGCTACCAGTTAGTCTTATACTGGCCAAACTGGAAAGTTTAATAAAGTGTATTAGAAGGAAGAGGGATGGGATCCTTGGGTAAATGCAGAGTAGCAGAAAGAGCTACCAGCCTTGGAGGGCAGTCGCCACAGTGACCTGGAGCAGGTGCCAAGGATGGGAGCTAGCATCGCTGCCATGCATGCATTCACCAGCGACTGGGCAGCAAGCTGAGGGATGGATTTTACTGACAACACACAGAGGGTCAGGGCAGGTCCAGGCTGCAGAGCTGCTGGAGCTCACTTGGTGCCGAGTGACTCAGCAGGAGACTGGCAGATGAAACACAGCATCATAGCAGGAAAAACCCGATGCTGACTGTACTTCTCCAGGAGCAGGGCCAGGAAAGAGGCTCTGGAGTCCCTGCAGGCAGGGCTTTAAAAGCAGCAGCTCAGTGCTCAGCCACCATCAAAGGGCAAATTAGGGAGACCCAGGTGAGAAGCATCGCTCTGCCAATGCCTCCATCCACGGCCGTGTCAGCAGGACCAGAGTATTCCCTCCTCCAGAGGTGCAGGGGCAGAGGCCCATCTGCCTGGAGATGTGGAAGGAGATGAATGCAATGTAAGACGGAGGGATTTAGGGCTCGTCAGCCCAGAAAAGAGGTGACTGGGAGAAGGGGAGAGAGTCAAATTATATAATGACTCACACAGACATTTTCAAGCACCTCTTCACAACAAAAGGAAATATTAATTCGTCCCATGGGAAGTGATGCTCTGGACCCCACATCTGCTTTTTTTTTGCTCAGTTTTCTGCTGTTTTCTGGACTGAAATCAACTCCAGGAGGGGTTAAGTGAGCCCAACATCCCTGCAAGGGCTGAGCCTAGGAGGAGGCAGCCAGGAGAAAGGGGTGCAGATGGCCGGCACGGACAGGACCTCTCCATCTTGCGGAAGCCTGCTGAAAGCTGGGAGTATCCAATAGGAGAGGGGACACTGTCCTGCCCTTATGGCCACTTCTGGGCCAGGATCTGAGGCCAGGAAGACCTTTGGGCTGATGCATGCCGACTTCTCTCCCGACGCTGCACTCAGTATACCTTGTTGTCTTCATCCCTGATTGCGTAGAGGCTGTGTTTGTAGACCCTTTTTTTGGTGCCAGCTCGGGTCAGGGTGGTTTCACTGAGGTCTGTCAGGTACTGGATATTGCTGTCAGCTTTCTCCAGGTCATCATAGATGTCACAGCTCAGAGGGACCAAGATGTGGAGCTTCCAGGTCTCCCTGCATGCCAGCATGTTGGGATTGGCTCTGCTGAATTCCTGCATCGACTTTTTTATCCCTGGTGGAAGAGAGCATCGGGCAGAGGTGCCTGGCGTGAGTACAGCTGCTTTCTACTTTGCTCCCCATTTTCCTGCTAACACTGTGCAAGTGGGAGGATTGTTATTAGGAGCTATTTCTATCTGTAGGCATGATAATGCAGGGAAACAGCTACGTACTTGGCAGGACTATTTTTAGGTACCCAACGTAATAAGACCAGGCAAGCCCATGAGCGACGTTCTGCTTGGACCTCTCACACATCTCAGACATCTCCACTGCTGAGGGCTTCTGTGGAGGGAAGGAAAGACAGATCAGCGGTGATGAAAGCAGCCACCCGGGCTCTTCTGCAACAGTCGGTTCTCTACAGGGATTGGAGAGCGGCCACCCTCTCCAAAGAGATCAGGAGAGTGAGCAACCCTGCTGCCCCCTTCCACCACACCAAGAGTCCTCCATGGCCCACACACCCCTGCAGATGAGGAAGCTGATGCCAGAGCGAGACGGACATATTTCTGGCTGCATCCGCCATTGGGATTGCATGTCCCAGTGCATCTTGTGCATCTGTCCGGTGCTTCCAGCATGCGGGAGGAGACATCCCAGCGCCTGATAGAGTGGGATTTCCAGGGCCACCAGTGGCCCTTGCCAACTCTGTGTGTTCATTTAGATGGAAATGGGTGTTGAAACCCCACAGGCACCTGACGGCTGCCCTCCCCAAAGCACCTTTCTGTAGCCTGCGTGACCCCTCTCCCCTTCCAGCTCTGCTGGGTACCTCCCAGTGCTGCAGAGGTACCTGGAGCTTGGTTCTGCCACCCACAGCATGCCTGACAATTAACCCTTTGGAGACCACATAGGCTACACTTTCGTCCCAAGCACCAGCTTGATTGACAGATTTAAAAATACCCCTGTTTTTTGTGTTAGCGGGGCTCTGGCTGCAGCAGGGCTGCTGCCAGCGCCCGGGGCGGCTGTGCTCATTAAAAGGCAGCCTGGCCCTCCTGCCAGTGCGCACGGCAGTACGGAGCCGAGGAGATCCGCTCTTCGGGGCTGAGCTAATGAGAGTGTTTCTCCCACTGCGGGGCTGTGTGCGGGTGGGCTGTATGTGCAGGGGCCACGCAGAGCCGGGCCACGTGCCCCCATAACCGCTCACGGCTGCTGCGCTCCCCGGGACGCCTGGTCAGGCTAGAGGTGTCGGTGCCTTACGTGGAGCCCCAGAGCGAGGGTGAGGAGCTGGAACGGCGGGCCAGCGCAGGGTGGAGGTCGAGTGGCTGCCTATCTCCATGGAGAAGAGCCACATAGGCTGAGCCACAGATGAGCAGCATGGGCCCGTACCAGCGCAGGGGGAAGCAGGCGCTCAGAGCTCTCCAGAAGCTGCCGTGGTGCCTTGGTGGAAAAGGGAGACAGGAGACAGGCTGGTGGCTGCCCACCCACCATCCCCATCTGCAGCTCACGGGGCACTGGCCAGGGGATGCTCCCACCTCCCTGCCAGTGCTGCTGACCTTCTAGAGCAGTATGGAGCCAGGGAGCCCTGAGGGACCCTGCTCAGCACACGCCGGGTGCCCCCAGCCAGAAGAGGGCTTGGGTGTCTTGCAGCACCCATGGGTCTCAGAGGGAATGTTGCCCTAGACAGCAAGGGGAGATGATCTCCCACAGCCCTGTGCCCTCTGGCACTGGGTGGTGGGGGAAGGCTGGGGGCCTCAGGTCTCCCTTACCTCTGCTCCCCAGGTAAAGGGCACACTAGGGAGCTCCCACAGAGAGGAGAGAGAGGGCCATAGGCATATGGGGGAGCTGGGCAGGCAGGAGAAGGGAGAGGAGGAGGAGGAGCTGAGAAAGACACGAGGTTGATGGAGAGCAGCGTGTGCTGCTGGGGCACAGCAGAGCATTGCCACAGAGGGCATGTGTGCGTGTAGAGCTTTTAGAAAAAAGGATCAGATCCCGCCCAACCCCCAGAGGCTGCTATGCCCTTGTCCCAGGGTGGCCCCAGGAGCCCGGGAAACAGCCTCCCCCACGCTGGTTCACCTGGATTGGAGGTGGAAGATCTCCTCGGCCAGGTAGCAGGTGCCCTTGAGCAGCACCCCGATCTGCAGGGCCACAAAGTGGGAGGCGAGGCTGCGGGCGGTGGGCACGAGGGGCTCCCCGGCGAGGTACAGCGCTGCGGTACACAGAGCCAGGAGCAGGTACATGGCACGCTGCGCTCGCCCTTCCCGGGCCTTGGGGATGAGCAAGGTGGTGGGGTGGCTCGGCTGCCGTGATTCCTGAGACATCTGCGGGAGAGAGGGGGGGTCAGCAGCAACTGTTGTCCCCAGCGCCCACAGCAGCACTGTGGGGAGCGGAGACGGCGGGGACACATGCACGACCGGTGCTCACTGAGGACCCCAAAGGACGCAATAGAGCTGTCCCTTCCTTGGCATGCTGCTGAAACGCAGCTGCTTCTGGGGAGGTTCCCTTGCACACTGCACAGGCCACCTCGCGGCTGCCCCCCGTGCCCAAATGGGCTCGGCAAGACAGAGCCTGGCTGGCCACCCCACTCCCAAATCGATGCCAACCCTACGCCAGCCCTCCCTGCTCCACAGCCACGGGGCCATCACTCCTCTTGCTGCACTCACCGGAGCAGTTACCAGCCGTGAGACTGGACTCTCCCTGGGTTTCCTGCGAAGTG